TTACGAATTTGTTGTCATTCGTTGGTCTGTTTCTGGATAAGAATTCCTAAGTACAGATAAGCTTTGATAATTTTTATTTGCTTAGAGCGAGTACGGTTCTTTGTTTTCTAATTATCGAATAATCTTAATTAATTGGTTTTTCAAGTTCTACCAATAAAAAGGTTAGGGTGAGTGTTTGATTAAGAAGTTAGAGTTTAAGTTAGTTAATCTTGAACTTTTTGGTAAACTTCAGTGTCTGGTTTAGTTTCTAGTTCAGAAGGAGTAGAGTTATGTGTTGGGTTGTTTTCTGATTCTTTGGTTAGAAAGATATTCAAAAGGATATCCATATCGATAGATTCAAATAGAAGGTTTACTGCAGTATTTACTAGTATAGTGATATCATTAGTATCATTAGAGTCATTAGAGTTTTATAAGAAAATATTTTGGAAACAAATCTCTTGATTGTTTTGAGCAGTAAGATCTTGTCTCCAAATAGTAAAAAAATATTGGAGAGCTTGGATAGTTATAGGTTGCAAGGTGGTGTTGTGTATTGTTAATTGTATATAAATTAGAAAATTTCTGAATAAAGCTATACAATTGTCTGTTTCTCAAGATTTTGTCTTTATCTCTTTCTGTCTAATAAAATTTTTTCTAGAAATTAAAGATTTTTGATGATAACGATTGGTCCCTATGTTTGTTTCTCATAGTATTTTGCTAATTGGTCACTATTGTAATACTTCTGTAAAACTTACCTTCTAATGTTTGAAGTTTATATGTACTATTATTCATCTTTGCTTAAATAATGAATAATCCTTTTCTTTTGTCTTCAAATTAGCTGATTTTGACTTTTTTAAAGCCTTTAGTTGTATTCAAACTTTTTCACTAATTTTGAATTCTTCTGGTTTAATTCTAGCATCAAAATATTCTTTCTGTTTCTATTGCAATTTTTTGATATTAGCTCACGCTTCTTCTTGTGTTGCAGCTATTCTTTCTATTAGTTTGTAGGCATGTTATAGTACACTATTCTGGAGGTTAATTTCTATGTCAGAGTCTGATGTAGGTTTGGTAGAGATAATAGTTTTGATAGATAAAGTAGCCTATCTACTATATACTAGTTGAAAGTATATAATTAGTGGTAGCATATTTCTTAATTCGATATGCCAAAAGAATAGCAGGTATATATATATCCTATTCATCAGTTCTTTTAACCTTCACGAGTAATTTGCAAAGTGTTCTATTAAGGCATTTAACTATTCTATTAGTCTGTAGATAGTATGGTGAAGAGAACTTGTATTTAATAAGGAACTTTTCATATAGTATTTGGATAGTTTTACTAATAAAGTTTCTTTTTTGGTCTGATAGAATTATTTTGGGAGTTCTATGTCTACAGATAATTTCTTTGAAGATAAACTTTGCTAAAGTTTCTGCTCTGGCGTCTGGTACAGCTCAGGCTTCTGGCCATTAGATTAAATAGTCTGTTGCTATTATAATATAGCAATTGTTCTGTTCAGTTATTAGTAAGGGTCCAACTAAGTTAATATCAATTCATTCAAAAGCTCATCCAACTTATATTGGGTATAAAGGTTCTTTTCTCCTGCCTTTCTGTCTTTTCTAGCATTCTTCACATATCTGTATATATTATTTAATGTCTCAATATATTTGGTCTAAATAGTATCATTCAGCTATTTTATAATATATTGCATCTGTTTCTAAATATCCACAGTAGGATGTTTATGCATTATATAAAGAACTAGTTCTATTTTTGTCTATTTGATAATACTTAAAGGCTTGTCTGAGTCTTTTCTATTCTTCTTGTAGAGTAAATGGTATCTAATTTCGAAATATTATGCTTGGTTAATTAATCGTTTTTCTGATTCTCGATAAAGTTTTCTGAAATAGTGTTTGTATTTAAATACTGGTATAACTGATGAGCATAGCAATAACTCGTATCTGATTGATTCTGAAATCATTATTACACAAATTATTTATATGGTTAATTAAAAATTTGATATACGGTTGTAGTCTAAAAACTGGCAATTTCACAATTCGTTTATCCCTTAAAGGTTAAACTAAAGGTACTCCTATTTATTAGTAAAATTTCTTCATTTTTGGTGTCTTTAATAGAAGATCTTTTCTAATTATTTTCAATCACTTTCCTCAGAGAGTTTTCATAAAAGTGAAGGTAGGTATTAATAAATTATTGTATTTGTTTATTTTATACTGTTAGTAGTTTATTGAATATCTAATACAGTTCAATTCACAACTTGCTAGAGTATTTTTTGCTAAAATTTTTGCCTATACGTCAAACTAATGTATTTATAGAGCTGTTTCTTAAAACTTGGTTTGATCTTAGAAAATTTTCGTGATTATTTGAAGAGCTAAGTCATTACAAATTTATTCGCTAATATTAGATACATATTAAATTATTATTTACAAAGATTTAATACTTATGTATATAAATTATAATTATGAAATAGTGATAGTAATATTGATTGAAGCATAGTAACAAGTCATATATGATGGTATGTTGATTTTTAATAAACTATTTATCTTTATTTTGTTCTTATTTTTGTTTAAATAAGTATAATGATTTAAACTTATTTTAACATTTTTTATTGTATAGAATCTCAACAATTTCGTAGTTATCAAGGTACTAGTATCAGCTTTGCACTCATAAAATCATGATTTCAACAATGTATTTTGTAGTTTTAATAACAAATTAGTGCTGTCAAGAGAAAAGAGCGCACCTGTTTTTTTAGTAAATTATTATTAATTATTTAACTGCTTCAGCCTTTCTTATTTATGACATATCGAGCATTAAATATATTTTAAATTTATGATATTTACTGAAGTAATTTATATAATTTTTAAAGGTTTGTAAAACCTGATATACATTAGACCAGAAGAGCTGAATCAGATAAATAATTAATAAATTACTAAAAAATGGTTACGTCCCTTTCTCTTGGTAGCACTCAAATGTGTTTATGATTTTAGTATTAAGTTGGTAAATACAGTAAATACAGTAATTCATTCTGAAGAACTTATTCATCAAAATTTGCATAGTAGTAATATTTTACTAAATGATTTATATAAACTTTATATTTCAGATTTGGGTCTTTCAATATCAAAAACCTTATATGACAGCATTAGATAGAAAATTTTAAAATTTGAAATACAACTTTAAATAGAAATATGCCTTATTGATTTACAAGTGCAATTATTTAGAATTTATTTTTTTGGATTTTGGCACAAATTTATATATCATATTTCTGCGACATGTATGCCCAGGTTAAAGAGTAGAATTGGTAAACTTCATTCATTGAGTTTTAAACTCAGAGCATCATTCACATTAAAATTTATGTTTTGATAGTGATTAATTTTTGATTAATAAATTTTATTGAATAAATTTTTCCAATTTATATTGTTAAAAACTCAATCAGATTCAAAATGCAAAAGATTACATGTTTTATCAGTTGTAAATAAAATCAAGTCAAAAATACTTTATATACTATGTATGCAGAATTTAAGGAGCAAAATTATTTAAAGTTATTTCAATGACATGTTTAACTTCTTTGCCAAACCTCTCACTTCATGAATGTGTATAAAGCAGTTCCTCTTCTTGATTAGAATTCATATCACTTTGATAATCTTAGATTAAATAATAAATATAAGAGTGTGTTAAATAAAGACTATTTAAACATCCAAACTTATCATAAAGGGTTCATTAAATCTGTTTTTTCATCAAACTCACAAAACCAAGATAATAACGAAGTTACAAATTATCTTGCTTTTCTTGAGCTTGGTTTTGAAGATCTTATAGTGTAGTAGTTTTTACAAAAATGATCATTTTCGATTTTAAGTGAAATAGCCTGAAGATTTCTTGAAATTCCTTAATAACACACCAAGTGAGCGAATACAAGAAATATTATGAGTGCAAAATGAATGTTATTAAAGTTAAAGTTATTTAGCAAAATGATATTTCTAAAGCATAATATAAAAACAAATGATTTTACTATTTCTAACATCTAGAATATATTAAATAATATAAATAGCGAAAATAGTACAGGATTGTTTTTATAATGTGCAAATTATATCATATGTAGTGATAATTGTACAAGTTGTTTTTGTAATACGTACTGCAAATTATAAGTTATGTAAATTGTAATCAATGAAAATTCAAACATCGGTCAAATTTTTTACCAATTCTTGAAAATCTAAAGTTTGTAACTAATTAATTCTAAGCTCTACTCAGGGTATTTTTCTAGCTGTATTATGTACCCAGATATTTATATAAAGGATATACTGTTTTACTATTAAATGCCCAGGTCAAGATTAGACATCACAGATACTGCCCAAGGAGTATATACATATTACAGAAATACAGTGACCTAATATATAAATTTATTTAGTAATGATTTACTTTTTAAAAATTATATAAGGACCTGTTATTCATATAAATAATTTTATATTTTTAATATAGTATATTGTAAAAAAAATTTTAAAGTGCCTCGTCAAAAACTTACTGGACCTTGTATTATTAATAATTATACTAGTTCTAAATCTTTTAGAAATGTAACTCAAGATCTTAAAAACAAAAAAATTGATAAATATTTTGATTTAGAATATAATTATTTAAAAGTTGATCAAGATCAAATTTGTTTTGAACATTATATGACTATTGTTAATTTTGTTACAAATAAAATATCTAAAAATTCAAAACTAAAATCCTTTATAGATTTAGGTGATATTATTGAACCTAGTAATATTTTTTTCAATAATTCTAATATATCTAATGATTACTTAAAATTTTATAAAGAAAATCAATATATAGATTTAGATATTAATAATTTTCAAATATAAAGATAAAAATTATTAATGATGGTATATTTATAGATCAAACAAATTTTAACAAATTAATCGATAAAATTATTAATCAAAAACTTCAAGAAATTAATTTAAGTCAAATATGTAAGTTTATTATTTATTAATTATTATATAATATTAATAATATTATATTAATTTATTTTATAATTTAACTTTATTTTATAGCACAACAAAATTTATTTGCAAATCAATTACAATTATTAATAAAAGTATTATATAAATATGAAAACAAAATGATGATTATTTATTAGATTCAAATAGTTTTAAATATTTAATTGAAACTGAAGAACCTCAATTAATTGAATTATTAGATACAATGACAAATGCTTTAGTTCCTGAAAGAAGAACTGAAAAAATAAAATAAAAGTACAACAACAAATTATTAGTCAATATTATTTTTTAGCTGGATTATGTAGTCAAAATATAAATAAATATAAAACTGATCTTAGTTTATATTTATTATTTTGTGGATTAAGTACAACTAGAATTAATTTTTTTAATAAAGCTGGAATAACTATAAATTCACAAACATTATATAATTATAAAGAAAAAATTAAAAATAATCATTCATTTAAAATAACGAATATTTTGCTTCTAATATAAATAAATTATAATATTTTTATAATTATTTAATATTAAAAAATTAATAATATATTTATAAATTATATTTAGATAAATAATTTTTATTGTTTTAATATTGATGATTTTTATGATATTTTATACATTACAACAACCAAATAATACAACACTTTCAATTGCAAATCATTTAGTAACATGTGTAACTAAACCTATTGAAAATCAACAATCAGTTTTAGCAATTTCAAATAATTATTCATTTTTTAATCCAGAAAATATTGAACTAACTAAAATTATAATTAATTTAACTTCTAAATATAATAGTTGTTTTAATAAAAGCTATAATGAATGTAAAATGGAATAGATATCTTCTAATAATTTCAAATTAATTCTCAAAATCATATAGAGTTATTAACTTTACATATATATAATAATGCAATTAAAGAAAGCAAAGAAGAAAAATCAATGAAAAATATAAGAGTTATTAAAGTTAAAAAATTAAATTTACATTCAATGAATAATTATTTAAAAGCTCTTAAAATGATTACAAATATTAATTCATTATCACAATATTTAAAAAATAATATAATTCCAATTATTGCAGATTGGCCAGAACAATTATTTATTAGAAAAATAATTATACAATCTAAATTAAATCTAAATTTAATGCCAAATAATGTTAAAAATTTTATCTCAATTTTAGATCCACTTCATGTTTCTTTAAATTTTCGAGAACAAGTATTTATTGTTTATTATAGCTTTTTTAAACAATTTTTTTATTTTGTTTTTGGAGATCAAAAAAAATTAGCTAAAAAACCAAGACTATGGAGAATTAATTTAATTTTAGAATTAATTCATGAAGGATGAAAAGCAATAGCTCATATTATTTTAACTAAATTTGATAGTATATATAAAGATGTAGAATATCGAATGTTATTAGATATTTTAAATAATTTAATACCTGCAACATTAGATATATATGCTATACTTTTTAGATTAGGTTCATTTGATTAATATGTTGAAACTATATTTAGACTATGGACATTTGCATTAAGATGAGAAAAAAAAAATTATAACAAAGCACCTTTAGTATTTCTTTCTAATTATTTTTATTGGTGTGATATAAATTATCCTTTAGCTAAAATATTATCTAATCATTTAGTAAATTTTAATGATTATTTTGTAGAAAATATGCAGTTATCTTCATGCAAATATTAATTCACATAGTACTATTAAAGAAATTAAACAATAAGCATATATATTAGATTATAATCATTATAAAACTCAACTAGATATTTTTAAATCAACAAGATCATATATATATAATTCTAAACAATTAGATTATTTAACAAAAAAAAGTAGTTTATTTTTGATAAAACATTTTTAAAAAGTTTATCTTAAACTTAATAAGAGTAAACAAATACAAAAAACACAATATTATATAGCTGAATTAGATGAAAATATAGATTTTAAATATCTTCCAACAGGTTATCTTACATCATATATACCAATAAAAAATACATATGATAAATGCAAAAAATCATTTAGTAAATTAAATGGAAAAGTATATATTTGTGGACATGTATATTATACAAATTGTTATAAAAATATGCATTTAACATGTGACTATTGTTTGCAATATTATAAAAAAGGAATTTTTTCAAATATTAAATCCTTTTTAAAAAGATTAGAAAAAACTGATAATGATGAATTAACTAAAGATGATTTAGAAGAAGAAAATTCAAATGAAAATTTAGAAAAAATAAATGATAATTATAATAATAATAGTAATAGTGATAGTGATGATGATAATATTACTAACAATAATAATAATAATATAGATCAAGAACTTCAAGAAGCAATAGAATTTATTGAACAATTATAATAATATTTTTAAAATATAATTAATATTTAAATATATATTTTATTATATATAATATAAAATAAATTTATTAATAAAATCAAAATATATTATATCATATTCTAAAATAACATATAAAATTTAAATTTATTATTATTATTTTAAAGTTTTATAATTTATCACTAATCTACAATTATAAAAATCTAATTTAATATAATGCTTAAACTTGTAAATATCTGACTTTAATCCTATATCTAATAATAAAATCTAACAAATCTAATAAATCTATCAAAATTTAAAATCATCAACTATAATTACAGTTATTATCACCATTATTCAAACTAGATAAAGACTAAGAGAGAAAGTCTTTGGATACTTACTATTTATATAAATTTGTACTAACTAAATTATTTAGATATATGTACATATGATATCTGAATAATTTGGTAAATACAAATTCACATGCATGATAAGTGTCCAAAGATTCTTCTAAAGACCAATCATATATCCAAGCTTATTTTAGATAATCCAATAGATATCAAAAAAAATATTCACTAGATAAAATAGCTAGATATTCATCAAATTGTTTATCAGATTTTTCAACAAATCTAAGCATTAATCTAGTAAATGATATATCTAAATATTCAGTAAAAATTGATGAAAATTAGAGTATCTAAATAAAAAATCACTTCACTAAATAAATGTCCAGATATATTATTACTTACTAATTTAACAAATATTTGATTAATGCTCATATATTTATAGCTCCAAAGTTATTATAGTAATAGCAAATATAGAAACAAACTTAGTATAGTAGTTGAGATGAATATAATATATTATTAAGAATATATATAGTATAATAATTAAGACAAATATAGCATATATCACCAAATTTATAAAACCGTAATTTTTTAAAAAGATAATATTTTTATAACACTATAGTGCCACGGCACTAGAACATTATAGCCAATCAAAATTTAAGATCAGATGTAATAGTAGATCAGCTTTGTGTAATAAAAACAAAGAATTTTTTAAAAAATCAATCATATTTCAAAATTTTGTCTATGAAACCACCTTTTGAGCTCTAACAAAAAAAAATTCCTTGTAAAATTTTACTTTAGTTTTTGTTTAACCCCAACATTAAGATCTTACTCTTACTCTAATACTAAAAAAAAAACAAATTTTTGCTTTAAACAAATCGATTTACATATATAATTTAATAATTACTTATGATATAGTGCTATGGTACTATAGTACTGTAAAAGTATTTCATTTTAAAAAATTTGTGTTTACTATGAAAAATTTTGAAAAAAATTAAAAAAAATTGCTCTGAATTCCAAATTTTATTAAGTAAATTTGCAAATTTGCAATAATTAGAGTTGTTCAGAATATTATTCTGATCATAATAGTGATTAAATCATCAAAATTAGTTAAATATTTACTAAGATTATAAATTAAATTTTTTTGAAATATTTCAAAATTTTCACAATATTGTAAAAAATTTGAAATATTTCAAAAAAATTTCAATTTACTTATCTTAGTAAATATTCAACTAATTTTGATAATTTAATCACAATTATAATTGTAATAATATTTGAACAACTTCAATTATCATAAGTTTGTGAATTTTCTTAATAAAATTTGAGGTTTAATGCAATTTTTTAATTTTTCAAAATTTTTGGTGATAAATACAAATTTTTTTAAAAAATTGTAGTTTTATAAGTTTGGTGATATATTAGATAAATTAGAAATAAGTATAATATAATAGTTGAGACAAATATAGTATGATAGTTAAGATGAATTTAATATAATAATTAGAACAAATATACTGTAATATGATAGTTAGAATGTAGCAATAATTGTTTAAACATAGCATAATAGTTAATAACAGTTAGAATGAATATAGCATAATAGTCAGAATAAACATAGTATAATAGTAGAACAAGCATAGCATAATATTTAAACAAATTTACAAGAAATATAGCACAATAGTTAAAGATGAATATAGTATAATAATTGAAACAAATATAGATGATAATTGGAATGATTGTAGCATGATAATTAAGACTAATGTAATATGATATTTGGTAACAATATAGCATAATAATTAGATCTAGCATTATAGTTAGAATTGACTTAGTATAATAGTTAGGAGTTTGGATAAATATAGTATGAAATATAGTATAATAATAGATAGATTCAGAATAAATGTATAGATTTTGAACAAAAATAATATAAGAGTTAGTATTTAGAATAAACATAGCTCAAAGATTTAAGTAGATTTAAGATATAGTATAAGAGTTTGATAGATTTGTAATATAGTATAAAAGTTTAGTAGATTTGAAATATATATAAAAACTTGATAATAGTAGTAGTTTTATAGTAGTTAAGACTAGATTCTTAATCTTGTTTTATAGTATTGTAACTTATAGTTAAATTTCTAATATAGTATTTATAGTAGTCAGTTTTTAATTTTTTTTTTATAGTCAAGATTAACCTCTTTGGCTTATCATGTTTATTAGATTGTAGAATCATATAGTGCTCTTTTCAAAGAGGTTTCAGACAAGTATATTCTAATAAGTATATATTCTAGCCATACTTGCACCTTTTGAGTATCTAATTTAAATAGTCTGTCTATTACTAGGTTCTACACTAAATGTTATATCTATAACCTATTTATTATTTAGATTACTTAATTAAATCTTCTAATCTGAGTTTGCTATCTAATCTATCTAATCTTATCCAAAACATACAATATATTAATCAGTCCAAGTTTCAGAATCAATGTGAACTACCTATAGAACTACCAGCTTGGTTAACTAATTCATTCTCAAGATCATTACCTGCTAAAGCAGTTTAATACCCACTATTACTATATTAATTAGTTTTTTTCAGATAAGTCTTGCTATATAGATTTTATACTTTTACAGACAGGCTACATCATCAATTTCTTATGCAAATAAGTTCACTAGATAGGTTCTAAACTTTTATAAGCAGGCCATACCACCAAACTTCCTAGTTCTTGCAGAGTTTCCCAAACTCCAGTACTTCTTCTTCAAGACAACCTGGTACTTTCTCTTTTAGTATCCTCTAATCAGTCTCTTCAGACTATCAATTCAGATAGCCTGAAAAAATACCAGTCCTGTGGTATCTGCTGATCTTTTTTCTTTGATTGATACTCAAGTCAGTGGTCTGATTAGTAGAGCAACTTATTGAATGCTTTTGTTATATTTAGTTATCTGGCTTCAGGTAAAGCCTATTTTAGTAGCCACTATTGAAAGATTGTGCTACCTCTCTATTTGGGTTTTGCTAAGCAGGCATCCATCTTTCTGGTTCTCTGGGTTTATATAAACATAAGGTCTTATCTTAAGTTTGCATCGATTAATACCAGCTTGTATATCTTTATATAACTTATGTATTGCACAAATATCTTATAATCTCTCAATTTTGTTGCTGCTATTAAAGTTACAGAGATTCTGTTCCAACTGATTGTCAAAAGACAGTAGCTGTTATACAAGCAGAATATTCAAAATTTCGCTATTAGTGAGTTTTGAACTCACCATTTGCCAATATACTACTTGGGGGTATGACAACTTAACCACTTCACTAAGTCATCACACCTATAATTCTTAATTTTAAAATTAATAAATAAAATAATAAAAATATAACAAATAAAAAAATAAATTTAAAAATGAAATAAAAGCTTAGATATTACTTTATAAATTTTTAGAATTAACTAGTTGATGATCTATTTCTATAAAAGATACGATCGGCACTATCTATAGTATTTATAGTATATTCTCAAACTAAATTATATAAGAGTAATATATAAGATATGTTTATAAGGCAATAAATAAATATACTCTAAAAAAATAATAATAATAATTTTAAAAAATAAAAATTTAAAAGCAAAAATACAATAGCAATTTGTTGTTATGACAACCTTTATATAATTGGCCAATTATTTTTTTAGATTGGAAATTATCAGGGCTGATGATTTTTTGCGCTATACAGAATATCACAGAAATCACAGAATAGAGTTACAAATATAGAAAGTAACACAATTACTGCAGAATTTTCACAAAAAGTAGGGTAATACAGAAAGTAATAAGAAAAATTTTTTTATTACCTGACTTATAGTTAATCTAAAGCTGCTGCTAACCTAAAAGTCAAGTAATGAAAATTCATAATTAGCATTATTAAAATGAACAAGACAAAAATAATATTACTAAAAATGATAATTTTATATAAAAGACTGTGTTTAGAATTTTGAGTAAAAAAGCAAATCATTAACTCTTCCTAACGATCACTTGTACCAAGTTTTCTCTAAAAACAACTGCACTTTTCTCAATATTTTATTAAGTAAACACATTTTGGCTGCCTAAGTAAAATTGTTTCTGTCAAAATTTTACACATAGATAGCCTAGTTTTATATCTCTAAAGTCCTTTATTACCAAGATATAACTAAATTTAATTTTTTTCTTATTCTTAAAAAAACTCAAAATTTTGTTAAGTAAATTGCTATTGCTTATTAAGACAAAAAGATTCAGCTCATCCTTAGCTTTAATTTGATATATTGAAAATTATAAACAGACAAAAGATAAGAATTTTACAACTAAAATACTTCAAAACTCCGTTACAAAAATTTTGCTAAAATTTTTTCTTTTTTGGGGGGCATTCTGGTCCCCTAGGACATCCAGATTGCAGATCTAGGATTACAAATCAAAATTATAAATCTATTTACACAATTCTAATCTCTGTTTTATCTATTTTTAAACTTAATCTAATTTTAGTAATTTATTTTTAAATAAATTATACAAATTTTATTTTACGTTGATCACGTCAATTCATCGATCACCTAATTGTCACATAAGGTGATACCTTATTTGTCACACCTCTTATTTGTCACATCCTCTTATTTGTTACACCCTTTTATTTGTCACACCCCCTTATTTATCATACCCCTTATTTGTCACACTCTTATTCATCACATCCTCACATTATCATTATGCCGACTTTAACTT